AAATTAATACATTAAAAAAAATAGTACCTGGATCAACAACTGTAGTTGTTGATGGTGAAAATATGTCCCACAATTTACTGACATAACTATGTTTCCGTTCATTTGACTGTTCAACGTAGCTTTCTTTTAATAATTCCACACCCTCTTTGAAACGAAAATTAATATCATCATTAACTTTGAAATTGATTAAATCAAGCTTACGCCAAAATTTATCAATAGACAATAATGGTATTGGTTGGTCCGCATATGAGTAAATTGCAATTTCGTGGGCACAAGGTAACCCACAACTACGACGCAATTGGCAACCACAATCGTCCTCAGTTATTTGATGTGCGTCAGGTCGGTCAAACTCTTGTCTAATTTTTTCCAATGCATGGTGTGAAACATTTCCACACAAACCTTTAAAATGGGGTATGTTGTATCGACGCATCAACTTAGTTCGGTTTGTTTCTAAAATATCTTTTATCGCAGTGTGTTGCGATTCCACTACCTTTTCTATTCGATAAAATTTTTTATCTAAGGTAGCATGTTGTGTCTGCAAGAATTTTTTCAACTTCGCGTGTTGGCTCTCAACTCTATTGTTGGTGTGGTTGTGAAAGTTTAAAACTTGGTTAATCCAAGCAGATACAAAATTTTCTTTGTATTTATCCAACCAGACTCGATTGAGATAATCGAGAACACCTAATTAAAAAAAGTAAATGGTTAGCTTATTATTATATATATTAATATATAAAATAAAATAGTACCTGCATGATTTGTCGCTTATTATTATATATATTATATATATTAATATATAAAACAAGTTAATATTACAGATTTTTTCACGAGATTATGTTCGATTTTTTCTAACATTAACTTATTTTTACTAACTTAATCTAACTAAAATGGAAGTTTTACTACCATTAATGTATGTACAGATTTTTTTAATATACGATTAGAAAAAATTAAAAATTATCTTATTTTAACCATGTACTTTTCATTAACGTAAAAAAAATCGTATTAAACATCGAAGTAAAAGTTTGATTATTATTATTATTATTATTAATAAAAGAAAAAACAACAAAAAAACAAAAAAAACAAAAAAAAGAAAAAAAAAATAATGTCAAATCAAATGTAAAAGTTTGATTAGATTGATGTTAGGGGGGTAAAATCAGCTAAGGGGGGTACTTATAGCACAACCCAACATAAATATCATCAATCATTTTAACCAGCCTTAAGATGTAGTGTCAGACATACTATGCCCCTATAAGCTGCAAAACCACCAGGTTCCATGCTTACATCAAAGTTGACATGCTATGCCCCTATAAGCTGCAAAACCACCAGGTTCCATGCTTACATCAAAGTTCAAAAGCAAAAAAAACATATCATTATTTCTTCCCAATGTGAAATAATAACCATAACTTTGATTTTTTTTTCAAATAAGTCAATGTAATAGAGTATTTACCTACCTAACACTCTTGGAAACTCTTGGCAGTTGGCATTAAGTAATACTTTCAAAACAGAAATATAATATTTCCATGAGCTAAATCAAAAATGAACATCAAATTTAGTGACTATAAACCAATCATTAAAAAGAAAGAACCACTATTATATAATACATGCAATTTTACATCTAAAAATGAAGAATACCAAAATAACTAATATCGAAAAACATAATTTTACATTTTCTTACCCAACCCCTAAAATAACAGTGTTCGATAAGAAAAAAAAGTTCTCATGACCATTTTTTCAAACACCTAGAGTGCAATGTATAGGGTGAAAAGATAAAGTTTAGCATACACACACACACCACCACCACCACCAACAACAACAACACTAACACACTAACAGCCACAATGACACACATACAAGCACAATAACACATATAGTCTCACACACATAACACACTAATTCCTTGTTCCTTGTTACTTGCTACTTGAACTAATTTTGATCTAATTCCAATTCAAACTCTCGAATTTCATCTTACAAACACTATAGGGTTCTGATGATCCTTATATGCATTCTAATTTAGAATCACTTACATAAAGATTGAAGTTGTGAACTTCAAACCTACAACTTGATTCTGAAAAGCATACACAACGATTATAACCAAACAAAATTGACATATACAAGAGTGGAATAGAGGAATACCTCGATGGCAGAAGAGCTAGAAGATGTGAAACCAGACGAAGCAACATACCAGACATGTGTTTGCGATTCAACGAAGCTCAAGAGGTAGAAATGAAAACAGAGAACCAGAAGAAGATGTTGATTGAAGAGCTTGAATCAAATGAAGATGAGACAAAATCAATATACACAAATTCGTTTGTTGAAGTTCCTGATTTATCGCTTTCAGTTTGGAATGTTGAGCGTTAATTTTGGAATAGATTAGCAATCATATTTGTTATAATCTTTCGTTTGAAAACCAAAATCTTGGTGAAATGCTCTGTGGGTATATTTGGTAGGGATTCGATTTGACTAAGGTCCCCGTTTGATAGTTTATTTCCGGGAAAGTGATGTCTGGTAAAGTGTTGTCTGAGAAAGTTTTTTGACTGGGAAGGAAACCATGCTGTTTGATTGTACATCTGATTGACTGTGCTGAATGATGAAAAAAAAAAGTAATAATTCAATAAAAAATAAATTTTAAAAAAAAGTTATTTAAAAAAATTAATAATCCAATAAAGAATGAAAGAGGCGGGGTTTGGTGTATAATTTCAGCCCATTCAGCCAGAAAGATATGATTTTGGTGCTTTATGGGAAAGACATATCTTACCGGATAAGACCCCTTCTTTTGTGACAGTCTTTCCGGTCCATTCAGCCAGAAAGATTTGTTTGGACCTGGAAAGATGCGTATCAAACGAGGCCTAAATCAGAGCTGGAGAATTATTTTAGGCGAAATGGAAGAATGATTATGGAAACTACCTCAATACGGTATGTAATACAACTCACAAGAAGCAGGGGCAATTTTGGAAATTCAGTTAGATGATAGGAGCGGGATAAATCAATTGGGGGAGGCTAAGAGAATGCCACGTGACAAAAATGTACTTATTTATTAGATTAGGGGATATCTGAAACTAATTAGGTTAAACCTAACTAAAGGGCTAACATAGGTCAAACCAAAAAAGAACCCAATAAACTTATTAGGCTACCATTACTCATTTTGCTTCGAGATTTAGGTGTTGTTTGTTTTTTCGAAGTGAAAATTCATGAAGTTTGCGGACCATCTATGCAACCCTCTGCAGCAAAAGAGGTGGACCAAACGGCTGCAGTCTGTAATAAGAAACATGCTTGTTTTTTAACATCTGCAAACTGCTGTAGTAATTTTATAATCTGAAAATAGTTCTCAACCGAAATTTTAATAATTCTAGTCTTAAAACATTGAAAAAAAATACTAAAAAGAACATGTAAAAAGCCAAGTGGGACTAGTCCACTTGGTAGAGGTTTTGCCTCTTAGATTGGGAGTCTCGAGTTCTAATCCAGGCATTGATGGTTTCGTAATACTAACTGTTTTCGTGATACTAACCGCCAAACACTAACTCCGTCGTTTAAAAAAAAAGGAAGTACATTTTAAAACAAAAATATAAATTTTCTAAAAAAATATAAAAGAAGCTATCAGTTTTATTCTAGAAAAAAACTAATTTTAATAAACATAACAAATAAAATAAAAAAAAATTAAGAAAATATTGCAAACAATGTCTACAAAGTTCGTAAAAGAATTATACATGCTAAAAAAGATGCAACCGAAATTGAAAATATTATTAATAGAAACGGTAAAAAAGTTAAAAAAATCAAAGTTTTTTTTTAAAAAAAAAATCAAGTTATAAAAAATTGTAGAAACAATAAAAAAAAATTGTATCAAATCCGTAAATCAAAGTTAAAAAAAAAAATAAGCCATACCAAATTTCTAAAAAAATCACTTGGAAAAAATGAAAGTTAAAGAGGCAAATCAAGTGTTGCGTCGTGCAGAACATGTGCAGAGGTTTTGTAGTCTGAAACCTTCTAAAAAACAAACTGCTGCGAGAGGGCGTGTGTACTGCGACGCACTTAAAAAAAACTATCTAAAGAGGTTTTTCTTAAAAAAAACAAATAGCACCTTAGTTGGTTGCCCTTGGCCCTATATGTTGTGGCTAAATTTCCAAAACGGTTGTCCATTGATCAGCCAATGTGTAGCGTGTTGTGTCATTAAGTGACATGTTTGTCATTGCAAGTCTGATAAAAATGCGGGTCCAAACAGGTTTACTTTTGAGTTTTTAAAAAGTTTTTGGTACTTGATAAAGGATGATGTTACAAAATTGACGTCTATATTGTTAGGTTCCTATTCAGGCCAATTTTCTAAAAGGTGCAATCCTACTTTCATTACTTTAGTCCCAAAAGTGAAGTGAAAGATGCCAAGTTTGTTAAAGATTTGTGACTAGAAAATTCAAATAAAATGGTGAAAGATGCCAAGTTTGTTAAAGATTTCCGACAAAAAAAATTCAAATAAAATATACACAAAAAGAAAGTTATTCCAACCGCACTTAATTTGATCAATATTAAAAAATTAAAGCTAATTACAAAAATGTACAGTTTCCTTATTAATTTACTCAACATATTTTAGTCGTTATGATCTTAGATAAAACATTACATAAAATGGTAAATGTAAGAATCATTACATGGACTGGTAAAAAATAACAAGTTGGTTATATTAAACAATAAAAACCATATCTTTTACATTATAAATTATAGATTATAACAACGATGCACGAAATGTAGAAATATATTGATAAACCCTAAACTCTATCTATTTTGACTCAAGCTCAACTAACCTCATTTTAACTTTTTAACTAACCAAAACTAACGAGAAAAGTGCACATGCATGCATAGTTAAACAAATACTCAAACACCCATAAATAAATAAATAATAATCTGTTGGGAGTAATTACAAAAAAAAAAAAAAAAAAAGTTATATATATATATATATATATATATATATATATATATATATATATATATATATATATATATATATATATATAATTTGATTAAGCGTATTTTTGTCGCTTGGAGGGACCTTGGTCAAGGATGGGGTCCACGAGAGGAAGTTTGGGGTCTGGTTGGTCGGTTTCAGGGGGGCCTTGGTCTCCTTCTGCAGTTGATGGCGGTGTGTAACCCTCCGGGAATGGAGGCGGTTGAGGGGCGGGTGGAAGCTGTAATCCAAGTGATGTTAATTAAATACAAAAAATAACGTACTTTTCTTCATTTGTTTATTATTTATTATTATATCATGGCATCATACTTTCAATATATACTTACTAGTTATTACAACATCCTACTCTCAAAATCTACCCAACCAGACAATCATTTTATAGGCATAGCAATGTCATCCAAGAAATGTGGTAAGTTAATCCATTAAGCCACACATTTAATTTCCCCACATTGCCTGTTTTTTTTTTTTTTTTTTTTTAATAAATTTTATAGTTTATAAAATCATGTTATTTTTCAATATATACATCTAAAATATCTTTGAATAGTCAACAGCTGCATCGATTTTTTATACTAAAATTGATAATATCATGAATAAAAAAGCAATTTATCAAAAAATAATCAATTAATAAATATTATTAGTTAATTTAGATCAAACTTTAAAAAAAAGTGTACTGAGTACTATAATGGGTTTACACTGCTTTTGGAAATTTCTTCAAGTTGCCAACAAACCCAAAAAATGCTAGAACTTATAAAGAGGAAACCAACTTTGGGTTTTTGGTTTTCCACCTGCTACACCAGGTTTAGAAGGTCATATTTACACTTTTGTCCTAGGTTTTAAATTTTGTTACGATGTTGGTCCAAACTTTAAATATTGTTATAAATATGGTACAAACTTTCTTTTAGAAATCCACCCCCCCCCCCCCCCCCCCCAAATAGTTTTTTTACACTTTTTAAAAACTTTTACTACGACCTCTTTAAGACTTTTTTTACAACTTATGAATACGAGAGATACAATAGATATAGAAACTAAAGAAAGATGGTATATTGTTTGAGTTATTAACTTGACATAAACTCACAGTCCTATTTGGTGTCAATTTTAGGTTTTTCAGTTGTGATTTCTACTTGTTTAGCATCTTTTGTTAATTGGTTTTGATATTGTTGTGTATCCTTATTTCATTCATGCTTTGATTTAGTGTGACTTTCTTAATTTTGTATGGTTCGTTAGTATTTACCATCATTTCTAAACAAAAGGGTAAAATGTTCATATTCATACAAGATCATTCAGTCTAAAAAAGAAGCACTTTATCTATACATGACTTAATAGGGGAAAAAAAAACAGCCCCTTACGAAAACAAAAAAATGGCCTAAGTGGACACTATTAGAGAAGATATAGTTATGCAGAAAAATAAAGATAAAAAGAGTGTGGTTTACCTTGCGTTGCAACGAGGCGAGAATGTGATCTACTCGTTTGACTTCCTTAAAGTCAATAGTCTCCTTAGCAGCCTTCGGTTCAAGGGACACATTCTCATTCTCCGAGTCTGCTACATCATAAATTATAAAACTATCAGAATAAATATGGTAAAAAATGCCTTAGAGATGAAAATGTCTTATTTAAATTCTTAGCTTACCATGCCCAATCTTCTCCAACTTTGAGGCTGCAGTAGTAAAAGCCTTTGATATATGATACAAAGCTCTCCCCTGTATGTAAAAATGGGACACGGACATATTATTAAACATTTATATATTACAAAAAAGATAATAATTAGGGAGTTGAGAACATACAACTCGGGCTGCAAAGACATTGCAAAGTTGTGGTGCTTGGTATATTGAACCATCGAGCACATAGTATGTAAGCATTGGAGTGACTTTTTCAGGACCATCTCTCTTCTGCTTACGCATCACAAATAGGTGGGGCTCCATAACTTCACTCACCATGAACTCAATTCCTGTCATTTTACTGTATGTAAAGACTCAATCATAATCTCATTCTATACAGATTAGAGATAGCACTTGAATTGAAAGAAAAACTTACGAAAGATGAGAGATGTCTAAAGGATGAATTGAGCGCATCCTGAGTTGTTCATTGTTGCATGTGTAATCATAGAAAGGAGAAAGTGCAAAGTAATCAAAGACAAGATTGCGGTCAAGTGGGTATGTGTTCAGCCACAATTGATCCCTGAAGCATATTCCGGTCATGTCTGTCCCTGGTGGAAGCGGAGCTGCTGGAGCATTACCATCTCCAGGTCCTAAGTTTGGTGGCAACATGGGTGTAGCCGCCATTCCAACTCCAACCTTTATTAATGGACTCTACTGCAAGAAGAACATAAAGAATATGAACACATATATGATAATTATTAATTTCGTAACTCAGTCGTAACATTGAAGTTGAAAACCATTACACCCTAGAGCAAGAGCTCCAGACAAATATGTTCAGTTAAGATCATTTCAACGAGGTAAACAAACATGTGAGAGATGATATCACTATTAATCCTACCCCGAAAAAACAGAACTACATATGGACAAAACATCAAACACCTTCGGGGCATTCCAGCAAAAATTTCGAAGCCAGTTAAACCAAAACAAACTCGAAATAATTGACAAGAACTACAAATTCCTTCGGTAAAACAGAGACAGTTACATACAATGCACCTCGACCTGGGGAGGCGATTAGGGATTTACCCTGATTCAACAATCTTCTTCTCAATAAGATAAACCCTAATATTCAATGGCAGGATCAATCACGATCAACAAAATCCAAATCAGTTGACTAAGCTATAAACAGCATCACGGGAAAGACACAGATTATACATGACAATATTCGAATTGGTTAGAGAAATCAGGGAGTTACCTGGCTTCAACTATGTTCACGAGATACCGAAAACCGTAAGCGCTTTCAGTTTCACGCTTCAAAAGACACCGAGGAAATCATATTTTGAAAAACTCGGGTAATTAAACTATAATCATAATCCATTATAATCTGCAATTAAACATGAAGACAGTTTGGCCGAGTGGTCTAAGGCGCCAGATTTAGGCTCTGGTCCGAAAGGGCGTGGGTTCAAATCCCACAGCTGTCAAATTTTTGCTCGTTCTTAAAGATATTTTAGCTACCGAAAGTATTTCATATCCATAAATTTAAACCTTATTTGTCGTTAGATGGTATGAAGGTAAAAATAAATATATAAAATGATTATCTAAAACATCACTTGATACATTAAACTTGAAAAAACTTATAAAACATACACACATGTAATCTCTTACAGTTTAGATTTATACAAATTTAGAAAACAAATCGATTAAAACTGTTAGCATTTTTTTAAGTAAACCAAAAATAATAAAGCATTGTATTATGACAATTCCTCCATTGATTGGTATCAAATTAAAATACGGTAAACAACAAGGACTCTGTGGCCCAATGGATAAGGCGCTGGTCTACGGAACCAGAGATTCTGGGTTCGATCCCCAGCAGAGTCGATATTTAAACAACACTTTTTTTAACCAAAACCAACACATTGAATCAATTGCGATTTTTGGTTTGCAGAATATTTTTAAAATAAACGAAATTGATGTATAGAATCAGAAAAATATGTGTGAAAAAATAAACTTCCATATGATTTATATATCAGAACAAATTACACTTATCAATAAGTTGATGAAAATATTTCCTCATAAGCAATTGCTGCAGAAAATCAAATATTTTGAAGAAATAATATTTATTTGTTTGGGAATGAATTAATTCGTTAAAAGAGTAGAGGCTGTTTCTTGAAAAAGCTTCCAAGCTTCAATAACATGCCTCTCTTCCGTCAATGGAGCTCCTACCACGAATCGTAAGACATATTTTCCCGATAGAACCTGCAAAAAAAACATCAATTTTTAATATCATAAACAATTAATATGGTTAAAAAAAACTATTGTTAAATAAAACAATTTAAACAGCATGGCAGGCATATTGATATACCGTATGAGAGATGAAGATCTTTCCGGATGAGTTGACAGCTTCCAAAAGTTGACGGTTGACTTTGTTCACATAATCTTCATTTTTGTTGGCAGGTACAACACGAAAGCAAACTAACGAAAATGTCCTCGTGGCAACCATCTGAAAAATGTGAAATGTTATTTCATCAATTCATTTAGCCACTCAACTATTATTATAATAATTAATAATAATCATCATAAAAAATATATTACTTCAGTGGGGGTGAAAGTACATTGTGCTTTTAAGTATTTTAACATTTTCCAAAACTGGGTATTATGGAGAAATGGTTTCTTTTTAACATTCAAAAAGTACCGTGTGTTGTGTTTTTTTCTTTATTTTACCCAACGGAAATCTTTTCTTACCTCAAAGCGTGGATCTTGTGAAACAAGATGTTCAAAATGCTTAGCCAAGTCGATATGGTTTCGTATATAAGACTGAAGATTTTCAACCCCATAAAGCCGTAACACCATCCACAATTTCAATGATCTTGCAATTTCCAAATAACACACAAAAAAAAAAAACGATTTTGAAGAAATCTCGGAACCAAAGATGCACTGCACGTTCTTAGAGTGACTTAGATCCGAGTTTAATTTACTCTTTTACCCTTCACATCATACCTGAATCTGCGTCCAAGAGGAATTTGCCAATCTTTGTAATCGACAACTGTACCACCTTGAGAAGCCTGATTGATTATTTTGAGAAAAATCAGAAGCATAATTAGTATGTTTTTTTTTCTTCCAAAAACTGGTTATCAATTTATTACCATGTCACTAATTAAAACATGTTCTTACTTTGTTCTTTAAAAACTCAGGATTTGTTGATAAAGATTGAATGAGAGCATGTCGGTCCTGTTTAGACAAGAAAGGTAATAATCAAGAGCTGAATTAAACAGACTATACAACTTATCTATAAAAAGAGTCAGGGTATTTTAGATATTTGATACTTGCAGGTGTAGTGTTATTTATATTCTGACCTCTAACTAATTACTAAGAATAGTGAATAATTAAGGTCCCAAACCTTTACCTTTATCCATAGTGCTGAACAATCAAAGTTTGTTAAGAACCATTTATGGCAATTCATGTTAAATGAGTCGGCTTCTTCAATTCCATTCAAATGATGCCGATATTCTGGGCAAATACAAGCACTTCCAGCATAAGCAGCATCCACATGAAACCATATTCCATACCTCTGTCAAACAATTAACGCATAAACAACTTTATATTTTATAAAATGTAGAAGCAAATATATATATTTTACCTTGGTAATCTTTCCGAGTGCTAGCAAAGGATCCACAGCTGTAGATGATGTAGTCCCTACCTGTGTACATAAGCCAGTGCATTTAGAAAGCTTGAACTTTCCATCCGATTATTTTACTCTTATAAAAAATCATATAGAATCCCGATATTCAAAAATGATATAGGATCACACACATAACAAGCTTAATGCAAATAGGCTCAAGAGCATGACATTTTTCGCTGAAAAACTATATCAGAAAACTAGCAGCAACAAAACAAATTAAAGCAAATATATATATACAAGTCTTACTGTAGCACAAAGGAAAAGAGGGATTAAACCAGAGGCAACGTCATGTGAGATTGAATCAGTGAGTGATTCAGGAGAAAGAGCATACTCATTGCAGATTTCTGTTCTTATGGGCTTACAATTCTCCGGGTAGATTCCTGCTATCTGGAAATATATCAACTTATTAGAAAAAGATTTAATAATTATGAATAAGGATGATGAAATGAAACAGACAATCAGACATTCGTACTTGGCATGCTTTCTGTAAAGAAGAATGAGTTTGATCAGAAGCATAAACCACAAGCCTTCCAAGTGCATCCTTACCAACCTCTCTTAAAACTTTATCACGAGCAGACAGAAGCACAACAAGAAGAGCTTCACTTGCTGTCCCCTGAATTACACCACCACCTGCCCCTACAATTTGCAACCTATTTCTTCATAATTCTGCCCATATATTTTAGTTGCAACTGGAAAGTGAAAGAAATTTAGGTACCTGTGGAAAGGAAATCATCAGGGAGTTTGAGCATATTAGCAAGCCAATCAAGAACGATCATTTCAAGTTCTGTAGCAGCTGGAGAAGTTATCCAACTAAACCCCACCATGTTAATTCCTGCACTCAGCATTTCTCCAAGAAACCCTGCAACACTGCTATTAGAGGGGAAGTAGGCAAAATAGTCCGGACTTTGCCAGTGGGTGACACCTGGCAATATCTTCCTTTGAACATCTGATTCCAATGAAATTGAAAACGTATTAGTGTTTTTCAGTCGAGGTAACATAATGCAAAACAATTGATGAAGATGCGACACCTTCAAGAACTGCTTGCAAGGATTCCGGCTGTACTGGTGCAGAATCGGGAAGAAGCTTCCGCAGATATCCTGGCTGATAAATTAACAGGTTCCTAAATACTTGCAAAGGGCGAACTACCATGAACGGAAAAGGTGCGAATAACGGCGTACCTCAACTTGGCTGAGAACAGGGAAACTCTCGATAGTTTTGTAGTAATCAGCAATGAAATCAACCATCTTGTGGCCATGTTCTCTTAGTTGCTCTGCATCCATTGCCTTCAGATTCAACCCATTCTCCCTGTCATATGATAACCAAACACGAAATACCATGTTCAATCAGTCAGACATATCATCAAACACCGTGTATGCATTCAAGAAGCATGAAAGATGTACTGCAACGCTTACATTTTGCTGATGAATTTGTGAAACTCGCACAGCAAAAGATCAGTAATTGGAAGGTTTTGGCTTTATAAGTGCGCAATTCTGTAAAAATTACCTAATAATATATACGTGTAATCACATCGAGCCAAGTTTTGGCATCCACATATACACCACTTATCTATATGTAGTCATGTGAATTGTCGTAAACTCTTAACCGTTTCTTTTGGAATAAACGCCTTTTTGTTTTTCATTATTATTTCATAAGGACTCTTTTATTTATTTACTTAGGTACACCAATCTCTAATATAAATGTCAAAAACACTTTTCGTTTCAAAAATTAACTTGTACCGTCTTTTAATCGGTGCATGTTAGGTCCCTCTCAGAAATAAAATGATTATCTTGTATTTTTCATTTTCATTTTCTTTTTCATTTAATTTTCAATTGTTTAGAATTTATATACCATTTTTTGTTAAATTATAACTTTTAGGAAATAAAATTTCCCCTTAAATTGGTTCCTACAACCTCGTTCATCAACCACCTCCGGCCACCAGCCACCTCCGACCACCAGCCCCTCTTATATCTTTCTATCTCACTCTCTCTTCCAAAAACCTCAAAATCAAACCCCAAATCTTAAAATCGAACCACATCAAATCGGAAAATCCAAACTTCAAATCTGAAAACTCATTTACAGAACTCGAGTGTCGGTTATATATAAATCGAGCAGATCTATAAGTGAGGGTGAGAGAGAGCGGGAAAGAGGAACCACGGGTTATCGGAGAAGAAGATCGAGATCAACCATTGTTTATAAACGATGCTTTTATAAACTCTATACAATTCATTATGCCTAGTAACTTATCCACTTATAAGTTAGAACTGAGAGATATTCATATACCTTAGTTAAGGGCTTTTAGTGAGACTATATTCATTAGCTAAGTCTAAACACTTAGCATACCCACACTACAATAACCGTTAATTTTCGGAGCGAGATATGTATGTATAGATCTATATGGGGTTGACATCCTCACCTACGGTTGCTAGCTACAACCCCGACCGATCAATCGAAGCGGGAGATAAGTATCTACTATCGTACTACGACGTGCAATGAAGCATTGTACGTCGTACGTTTAGTCACATAACTCGGTTATAGGACTCACAATAAACATTAACTATAATCCCTCTCTCTCTTACTACAAACCATGTGATTGGTTTCTTTCAAAACTATTTTAAGTATGGATTTACTTATGCAGAGATACATTTTGATTTTCAAAGCTTATTCAAAGACTCTTTTCAAACACGGTTTTAAGTATGGTTTTACTTATAAAGAAAAATATTTTTTAGATTTTAAAAGTATTATTGTTGTTAGCAGAAAACATGTAATTCTCACCAACATTGTGTTGACCCTCAAATTTACATGTATTCTCAGGAAATCACTAATCAAGCTATTCAGACGGTAGACAGTCATGGATTTTAGACAACCTAGTTTACTAGTTTTTGTTATGTCTGCCTACCTGTTTATGGCAATTCATGTACTATATTATTATCTGTAAGAACCATGTATTCAAACATTAAGATGGAATAAAAATGTTGTTTTGTTTATTGTTGTACTTGTGCTATGTATTCAGTTTAGTTATGATCCATGAACTAAGTCGCACAGCCCGACATGTTTCTCCGTCTCGGTCGGGGGTGTGACAATCGAACTAGATTACCCCTGGTCCACAGTTATCAGACCGGATTACCTCGACCCAATCAGCCATCGGATCGGAATGCCCTTGTCTATTGGCTTACACACATAACAGTAAAGCCTCAACCCAAAGCGCACTATGTCGACATATGCAACAGATAAATCATATAACACAAACAAATAATCGTGGGAATTGTAGAATATCACCACTTGTTTAGGTGATTGAAGAATTCCATATAAATAGAGAAATAATTAGGGTACAAGATATACATGGGCCTATAGAAAATACACATGGGCTAAACTAAAATACAAATACAATTAAAAAGACTATGGACTAACATCCCCCGCAAGCGTAGCGTTGGGTTTTGACCAACTCGAAGCTTGGATCGAAAAAAAAATAATGGTCTCGCCAAGCCTTTTGTAAAAACATCAGCAAGTTGCAAGTGTGAAGGAACAAATTGAACTTTAAGCTTTCCAGAAGCAACTTGCTCACGTACAAAATGGTAGTCAATGTCGATATGTTTAGCTCGTTTGTGCGCAATTGGATTTTGAGACAAGAAGATGGCACTTTTGTTGTCACAAAATAGCATAGGAGATATGGGAAGCTGAACTCGTAGGTCTCGAAGAAGATGAACCATCCAAGCCATCTCAGAAGCGGTATTAGCAAGAGCTCGATATTTTGATTCACAGCTAGAGCGGGAGACGGTAGGTTGTTTCTTTGCACTCCAGGATACAAGATTATTGCCTAGAAGTATAGTGTAACCGTATGTAGAGCGTCGAGTCTCTAGGCACCGTGCCCAATCAACATCAGAGTAACCTTAAACAATAGAAGAGTCAGCGGAGTGAGAAAAATTGAGTCTGTAATGGATCGTACCCCTAACGTATCGTAGAATACGTTTGACAGCTAAGAAATGAGCATCAGTAGGTGCTTGGAGAAACTGACTAACAGAATTTACTGCAAATGAAAGTCGGGTCGGGTTATGGTTAAGTATTGTAAAGCACCGACGAGTGATCGATAGAGAGTAGGATCACGGAACGGGCGTCCTTGTGTACTGTGAAGCTGAGAGCCAACTGCCCATGGAGTCGCAACAGGTTTGGATGAGAGCATTTGAGCCCGATCAAGTATGTCTCTTGCATACTTAGCTTGACCAAGAAATAAACCATCTTTGGTGTGAGTAACCTCTAATCCAAGAAAATAGCTCAAATGACCCAAGTCTTTAATTGAAAATTCCTTATCCGTGCGTTAAATGAAGGAACGAAGTAAAGTGTGATCATTTCCAGTGACAATAATGTCATCAACATAAACTAACAGGTAGAGAAGAGTGGTACCACGTGCATAAACAAAAAGTGAGGTATCAACTTGACTACAGTGAAAACCAAGAGTAGCAAGATATGCACTAAACCTTGTAAACCAAGCACGTGGAGCCTGGTTGAGGCCGTATAAGGCTTTATGTAGACAACAAACGTGATTAGGAAATTGCGGATCAATGTAACCAGGAGGCTGCTCCATAAAGACCGGTTGGTCTAAGTGCCCATTTAAGAAAGCATTTTTAACGTCAAGTTGATGAAGAGGCCAATTTCGTTGAACGGCTAAAGCAATAATTGTCCTGACGGTAGCAGCTTTAACAACAGGACTAAAAGTATGAGTGAAATCAAAGCCAGGAAGCTGCAAAAAACCTTGAGCAACCAAGCGTGCTTTAAGACGATCAACCGTGCCATCAGATAAGTACTTTGTACGATAAACCCATTTAGAGCCTACAGTGTTTACACCAGTAGGACGGGGAACAAGGGTCCAAGTATGATTTGACTTTAAAGCATGTAATTCTTCATCCATAACTTCAACCCATCCAGGGTGTTTTAAGGCTGATTTGATGCCTTTTGGTTCTGACTGAGCTAGTAAAGCAGCAAGAAGACCATGCGGTTCAAAATCTGGAAAATGTTTAGGTTTAGATATACCAGATTGTGATCTGGTCCGCATTTGATGACGAGGGAGAACTGGGGATGGATCAACATCCTCGGCTTGGGATTCAGGAACAGATGAATCAACAGTAGGAACAGTTGAAGTAGACACAGGTGCAGAAATAGATTCTTGAATCGGCCCAACATCAGGAGATGTACAAATACAACATGGTCCAGTTGGTTGTGAAGGTTCAGATGCATGAGAAGAGTTGGGTTGCGTGTGATTGACGTCATCATCATCTAAAGGATCTTGAAAGATGGAAACATCTAATAAAGTAGGATTGGTAGAGCCATTTGTGCCAGATGCAAATGGAAAAAGGTTCTCATCAAATTGAGCATGGCGAGAGATATAAATGCGACCCGTATGTTTATCCAAGCAAAGAAAACATTTGTGATTAGAACTGTAACCCAAGAAAACACAAGGTATTGTGCGTGGTGAGAACTTGTTGGGCACAGTAGCCCGTAAACACGGATACACACGACAACCAAAAGGATGAAAAACCGAGTAATCTGGAGTATTATTGAACAACATTTCAAATGGCGACTTGCCTCCAAGAAGTGTAGAAAGTAATCGATTTATAGAAAAAACAGCAGCTTCAAACGCCTCAACCCAATAAGTAAGTGGAACTAAAGCATGAAAAGCCAATGCTAAACCAGTTTCTGTTAGGTGTCGATGCTTACGCTCAGCTCTGCCATTCTGAGCAGCAGTGTAAGGACAAGACATTTGATGATGAATGCCACAAGTCAAGAAATGATCATGTAGTATTTTGGAGGTAAACTCAGCCCCTCCATCTGATTGAAATACTTTAAGTTTAACCGAGAATTGAGTTTCTACAAAAGCTTGAAACTTGATGAATATGTCAAAAAATTCTGACTTTTGGCGCATAGGATAAAGCCATGTGAATCGCGAATAATCGTCAACAAAAATAACATAATAACGAAAACCATTATTAGAAGAAATAGGTGCAGCACCCCATAAGTCACAATGTACTAAATCAAGCACATTAAGTGCACGTTTATCATTATTACTAAAGGGCATCCGTTTACTTTTTGCCAACTGACAAGACTGACAAACAACTGACTTAGGCAAATGAGAAGTAACAGACACAAGACCTTGTTTATTAAGTAATTTGACAATATCATAAGCAACATGACCCAAACGAGCATGCCAAAGTTGAAAAGAAGCACGAAGTCGCCGACTCTTAAGATCACTGAGAAAAGCCGAATCACTTCGTTCCAGAATATAGAGACCAAACTCACGTCGCCCTCTTTCCACGATCATCCCTGTTTTCTTGTGTTGAATAACAAACGAAATATCATCAAACGAAACAGTGACAGGCAAGTCCCGGGTTAGTTTGCTAATTGAAAGAAGATTTTTAGTAATTTGAGGGACAACTAACACATCCTGTAACGATAAAATCACGAGTAATAACACGTGACCCAATATGTGAGATTGATAATCGATGACCATTACCAACATAAACTTGATGATTACCATTATAGGGAGTAACCGAGTCAAGTTGAGAAGTAGTTGATGTCATATGAGAGGAAGCTCCAGAGTCCATATACCAATCAGAAACCTCGTTGGGCTGAATGTTCATAGCACCAAATGTTGATGCCAAATTAGCTTGAGAGGAATAAGTGCCAGACCGCGCATAACGATCTGGACAATCAATAACATAGTGACCATCAATTCGGCAGATTTGACAACGGGGAACATAGGTGCGACGATTATTCCGACGACCTTGGTGTGAGTTACTTTGAGAACCACGTCCAGCAGTGGACCGAAAGCCAACAGAAGAAGATGAGTTACCAGATTGTCGGCCACCACGTTGATTAGAACGAGAGTTAGGGCCACCATGAGCCGTAAAAGCAACAGATGCTGTGGAAGAATCCTCCAAGGATTTATGAAATAGAGAATAACTCTCTGCCTCTGATATAACATCACGAAGAGTGGATGGAGGGATGAGGCGCATCTGTGACAAGGAAAAAGTGGAAAACATCGTACCAAGGCCACGACAATACCAATGCAACTAGTTGGTTTCGGAAACAGGGGCACCAATAGCAGCTAACTGATCACAATAGGAACGAAATTTGGTGCTACAAACTGTAACGGAGTCATTACCTCTGCGTAAATGTTGCAACTCATCATTGAGTTGGATTTCCCTTGTCTTGGAACGAAGAGAATAAGCCTTTTCTAAGGCAATCCATACAGCAGCGGCACTTTTACATCCTAGGGTTTCAACCATGGATTCCTCAGTCAAAGAAGAAAGAAGGAGACTGTGCAGACGACGCTCCTGAGCAAGCCAATCCTTATTTGCTTTCTATATAGCAACATCAGTAGAAGAAGATGATGGCATTGGCACAGAACCATCAAGATAACCAAATAAGTATTGAGAGGTGAGAAGTGTCTCCACCTGATTGCGCCATAAGAGATAATTGGCAGAACTGAGCTTAATGGTGATCATATGAATGAGTGTGGCATAAGGAAGACAAGAATCTGATTCAACCATGGTGAATGAAAGTGCCAATAGAAACGTGGCAGAAGGGGAAAAAGAAAATGGCAAAGAAGGAACACGTATTAGGGTTGGGGAAAAAAAATGAAAAAGATACGTGAGGGGAATTAACCTTCTGATACCATGTGGGAATTGTAGAATACCACCACTTGTTTAGGTGATTGAAGAATTCCATATAAATAGAGAAATAATTAGGGTACAAGATATACATGGGCCTATAGAAAATACACATGGGCTAAACTAAAATACAAATACAATTAAAAAGACTATGGACTAACAATAATCATGCAAATCCAACAGATCACTACAACATAACAATATCCTATATACTAAGATACATAACCTAGTGGGCCGACGTTGGTGCCTTCAACCCACAAGTATAGCGAGGAAAACTCACCTCACAGTCTGAAAAATAGTTGAACAGATCATTGCTCTAAATATTGCCTCTATAGATCACCTATACAAATATTAGGGACCCAATCTCAAACTACTATTCAAATTACCCAAAATGCCCTTAAGTCAAACTTGGTCAAGTCCATGGTCAAAGGTCAAGAGTCAAAAGTCAAAAAGTCAAAGATCTCACATCAGGCTGAGTACGCCTTGCGCACTCCATCACTACGCATGGCATAGTGAATTCCTCTCCATATTATGGGGCTCTAACTTAGTACGCGTTGCGTACCACTGGGTGCGCCCTACGTACTCGATCAACTCTCACTCTCCTCATTAAGTGCTTATTCCTTTAAGCCATTGCATTTAAGTCTCATATATAACCCCAAATAACCTCTCAAATCATAAAGCTTCCAACTTTATGACTTTGCATGACTAGAAAGTGTCCAAATCCGAAAACCCTAACATATCATAAGATTCTAACCCCAATACTCATGCATGGATGAAAGGAAATGATCAAGATCACATTTTTATGACTCCATGCACTTCAAAATATCTGAAAAAGGCTACTCTTAAGGTCTAGAGTAGCTCATACTTATCTAGACCAAGATTATGGGACCAAATTGCACAAAACTTAAGAACTAACAAGATCTAGTGAAACACTCATCAAATTTAGAACTTTATACCTTTTAGAGATTACTTGAGAGGTGCAAATCCCATATATACAATGCTTGAAGCTTTCCAAATGTACTCTGATGATCTTCTTCCTTAAAGGATGGACACAAAACACTTAAATAGCTCAAAAACTCTCAAAATGTAAATTAGGTTTTGCAAGGGGTCGATTAGGAGGATGAAGGCTGAAGGTGGAAGGGTTTATGTAACATCCTAAATTTCAAGACCAAAAATTGGTTTTTAATTAAGTAATTTGTAAAACAGTTTACTGAAAACATCATCAATATCATATCAAACCCATAAACCAGTAAGTCAAATGTCATAAAACATGTCATGGAATAATAATGTCAGAGTACAATCCCAAGGACATCATGGTGCGGAAAATAATGGTGTGATGCGCTGCTACCGAGCCGGCTCCTTTCCAATCGAACAGGAAGTACCTGAAACCAAAACTGAAAACCATAAGCACAAAGCTTAGTGAGTTCCCCCATCATACCACATACCATAAACACATAATGCCTATCCCTCGGTATCTTTCAACCGATATCCTACTGGCATAACTGGAAGCTGGGCTTCCCTTCGGTATCTTTCAACCGGTAACCGGGAGCTAACCCACTACAACAAAACAGTTTTTTAGAGACGAAGCTTTTAGAGACCACAGCAGTCGTCTCAAAAAGTATACCTTTAGAGACGAAAAGTCATCGCTAATAACTATTTTGAAATTTTTGAAAATTGTTTTTTTTCTGCGACGATAAGCCCTCGCAAATAGATAAGCGCGAAAGTTTTGGGAACCGCTTTTTTTCCTGAACATTCAGCGACCATTTGTTGTCACTGAAAAACAAAATAAAAATAAATTTTTTTTAATTTTTAAAATTTATTTTTTTGCGATGAAAATTTATCTGTGTCGGATAAGCGGGAAATATTTTTCAATTGACCGCGTTTTTTTTTCAAGATTTTAGTAAATCAATTTTTTTCCTCAGCAACATAAATTATCGACAAACCCTAGATTACATTTTTCATCCCCTCATTCTTCCAAATAATAGAGCCGTCTACTTCACTCCTCACGATCTTAAGGTTGTCTCTTTCTTTCTCGCCGATCTCCTCCCTGCTTTCATTCTATTGCTTGTCGGTGTCTCTCTGTTTCTCGTCGGCGACACTCTCACAGTCGCTACTCCTTTTTTTCTAAATAGGAGGCATATTTATGGACGTCTCTCACATTCGGTGCCCCACCGGCCACCACCTCCGATGTCTTCAATTAAATGGCTTACTTAGCAAATATTGTTTCCTGGCTAGCAAAGTTGATTTTGATATATGTTTCATTGAATATTTGGTCTATATTTATGAAATTGAACCCATATTATTTCAATTTTTGCAGGGATATGCTATTTGGGCATCATTTGAGAGGATTTGGAGAACAATTTGCATCTGAGTTGTGTATAATGCTTGTTGTGATAGACTAAAAAAGGTAGAAAATTGTATATGTTATTCCCTTTTGAAAGTTGTTATACTCTTTAAGATTACAAACAAGTCATAATTTAATTAATATCATGTTGATTATATTTATTATGTGAAAGTTGTATATAACCCAGATCTTAAGTGTGTTTCTTATCTTATGTAGGACAGGGCTTCAATCTCAATTCATGTGCTAATGTCTTATTTAGAACCTAGATCTTAAGTTGGTAGTTTGTTATATTAACCATTAACTTTGTGAAACATCACCATTACAGGCAATCAATCAGGCATGCGTTTTACCATCTTCAAGTGGGTAAGGAAATACCTTGATTAAAACAATTTCACCTACTTTTATCATACTCTTTGACTGTTCCATTGGTTGCTTACAAATCAGCTCTAAGACATTCTAGTTGACTAAAGCCATCCTATCTACATGTTAAAGCATGATAGTTTTTTTGCTTTTTGCAGCTAAGAAGAGGTTATACGGGCCACAAAACGAAGCGTTAGATAGAGGACCCGATACACAAAACAGGAAAAAAAATACCAATGCTGGTGTCTCAATTCGAATGAAAACATCAAAAAAGAACAACAATATGTGGATGATGTTATGGGGTTTATGATAATGAAGACATAGAATAAAGTATAGTTAGTTTGTCTATTAAACTTCATGATGTTCTTATTGTTTTATCGGATTTATTGTTAAAGTTGGATGAAGATGTTGATTTAGTGTGTTATGTAGTTTGGAACTATGGATTCTGTCTTAATTTGATGTTTATCAATATTAATGAATTTTTTATAAATTAATAGAATTTCATTACAGTTTATGTATTATAGAAAAAACTAATTGTCTATGAAAGTAAATATATATATATTTTAAATTATTAATCTTTTAGAGACAGCTTTTAATCACTAAAACTAATTAATAAAAAAAGTATTATTTTCTTTTAGAGACAAATGTTTGTCGCTAATAGTAATTACTATCAGCGACGATGCCGATGTTGTCGCAGAAGATACTTTTAGCGACGGAGCTATTGTGAGGAAACCATTAGCGACAACGATCCTCGCTGTTGGTTTTTAGCGACAACATTAATACTTTTAGAGACGACATTTGTTGTCTCTAAAGATCATTTTTCTTGTAGTGACCTCCCATTCGGTATCTTTCAACCGGTAACTGAAAGCTGACCTCCCATTCGGTATCTTTCAACTGGTAACCAGGGACTAGGTGTGTTCACGGGGCGGTTCGGTTCGGATAGTAATAAAATTGTGAACCGTAAGCACGGGGCGGGTACCTCACATGCACTAATCGAAACCGAACTGAATTGTTCAAAAAACCGAACCGAACCGTATAAACACGGGTAACCACGGCTCGGTTCACGGATAACCGTTAAATGTAAACATTCACAAAAACTATAAACTAAATATAAACCAATTATATATTTAAAAAGAATTGTTCAACTATTGAGTAAATTAAATGTAACTTGCGATCGATGTTGAATTTTGTGTGAATCCTTGGCCATATCATGAAACAACGACTAAATTAAATGGCTGAGGATTAACAAGAAACAATTTTAACAATATGATAGACGTCCATGTTTTTCTTTTCAATATATATATATATATATATATATATATATATATATATATATATATATATATATATATATATATATATATATATATATATATATCTTACTATTTTTATAAATAGATTGAATATAACAATATTATTTTTTTAAGACGTTCAAACCATTAAGCTGAAAGTACAACCAACAATCAATATTATAATATTATAATTTAAACCGTACAAATATTAATGCAATAAATACAAGTATTTAATACCTTATAGTTATGGATCCGACACGTATCTTGACTTGGCCCTCTTCAAAATTGAACCGTCGTTTGAATTTCCAGTTTATTCGCCTGATTTAAAGTTTAAAAGGTAGACCATATATCTTCAACCACCGATCAAACTACATAATCTCTCAAATCCTAATGTCACCCTCTCTCAATCCTAACAAACGAACTTCCCTACCACTTTTCCGCTGTCAACAACCAGTCTCCCAGTCTCCTACTCTCGGTGGTGTTGCTTCTTTGATGCAGAGCAATATCGATGCCACCAATATCATATTCCTCTTTCTCTTTCTGCTAGAAACGCATAGTCAAATGTCAAACCCCATTCAAAATCGACTGTCAAATCCCCTTCAAAATTGTCGATGCTTCTGTTGCTCCGATACCGGAAGACGCTGAATTGTTTTCAACAACGACGACTCCCTACAGTGGTGATCCCCTCTTCCGTTTCATTCCTATTGAACCTTTGGTTCCCTTCTCATGATGTGTTCTGTACATATATCACTTTGCATTATAGCTCTCGAGTTCAAAATCCAACCCTCGTGAATATGTATCCTTCTACCATACTCAAACCTTGTTTCTTCCACGATCTAAGCCTAATCGATTGGTATTTTTCTTTGGTAATTTTCTTTCTCCTTATTCCATTTAATCTTATTTTTTTTCCATAATTTACATTTTTTGTTTCAATTCAGAGTCAGATCAAGGGTTTTCCAACCCAATTTTGATATGATTTTATTAACAGATGTTGCTACACCTTCATCTTCACCTCTCTTTCTCTCTAATTTGTTTTCTTTTTTGTGTAATTTTCGTAGGTTTTAAAACATAATTGAACATATTTTCGAGCTTAAGACACATTTTGAAGCATCAACCTAGGATCTCAAGTATGCATTCATAAGTATGGATTTTTTTTTTCTTAAATTTGCTCATAACAGATCTGGTTTTTTGTTTATATATTAGCAAGTCAAATACGAAGTATACCAGGTGTGTGTTTCCTTTTGCTTTTCTTCCATATTTTTCTAACTGTGTGTGTTTAACTATTTATGTGAGAAATAGTCTCGAATCTATGCGTCTATGTTTAACTCTAATTGTATTTGTTTGTGTTATTTACTTTGGTCCAGTGGTTTCTGATGTGGGTTTTGAAAGAAAATCGACTATGTAGTGGTGTGAACCTGCTGCTTCATTGCCACTGCTACTTCAGATTGGAAGAGGTAAACCTAAAATTATTTCCTCTTTCAACCTCTCTCTCTCTCTCTCTCATTCGATCCATTTAATGATAAATCTGTAACTTTGTTTTTTTTTTTTTCTGTTTTTTTTGTGCTTTTTTTCTTATATGCGGAGATTGGTATCAAGTAAGCATCAAATGAAGGTTTAGAATCTGGTAATAAGGTTTGAAATCGTAATTTTTTTGTTTATCTACTTATTACTTGAAATCTGCATATTTTTGGAGCAAGAAAACTTACCGTTCTGCCCATAGGTTTAGTAATTTGGTTACATTGGGAGGTACAATTAGAGGTTACATACTAGGCTCTTGCTGGAAGATTTCAAGTTGGTAGATTGAAGAGATGGTGAGGGGAAAACCTTTTGTTTCTTTGATGTTAACAAAATTAACTCTGGTTTGGTCCTTTATTCTTTGATCTTCTGTTTAGTTAACGATGTCATATTATTTAATTATCGGTGGGATGGTAAATCTGGAAAACCTTCTTCCTTCATATATTGGATAGAACCAAATTGTATCGATTCATTTATCAAAATGATTTGAAAACCTAAATATTGGTTTAGTGTCGCATATCGATTCAGTTTTCAAAATGATATTGAATTCCTTTTCCATTAAATCTTTGCAGTCTCCTTAAGGGTTTCAGATTTCTATGTATAATCGCTTCTCCCTATCCATGCTCTTTTCAGGTCGGTTTTTATGGGTTTTGTTTAGTTATAGTTCAATTTAATGTTTCTGGTCGGTGTTTGGCTCTACAAGCTTTATAACGATTTGTTAACTTTGTGTTTATTGTATAATTTTAAATCTTATACTTATTTGGGTGTGTATGTCTATTTTCTAGATCTATACACCAACGTGTTTTTGGCCTAGAGAAGCCTTAATCAGAGACAAAACAAGTAAGTCTAACTTTGATATTTTTTTGACAAAAATCTTATAAAATATCAAATCCGGGTGCATGTGATGTTTTTGAGAGATAGGGGCATAATCGGAATTTGACAAATGTCAATTTTGGTTTTAGTAACGTCCAACTTCGTTCAATAAAGCTCTGGTTTTAGTACGCATGCGGTTTCATCCATGAAAGCTTTGGTTTTAGTAAGCATATGGTTTCATCCATGATTTAGTATTTCCTTAAGGTATCATGAATCAAAAAAAAAAAAAACTACTTTTGAAATGAATAAAGTTTAAAGTGGAGTGAAAAATGATTTCTTCAAAGTGGGGAGTTGTCCAGATGCTAACGCAGAAACAATAATACCTAATGGTGTCAAAGAGACTTCATTCTTGTCTTTGGTTCAGATGCTAACATAAACAATAAACACCCATGATCAGGTTATTTGAAAAACATACTTTCCAGTTCTTCTATTTGTTTCGTGTAATATGATATTGTGTTGTTGCCAACACCTGATACTATGAGATTGAAGTGAAAATGTTAGGTTCTATTCATTTTGATTATATGTGTTGAAATATGAACATGTAATTTTGGTCTCTTTCAGAGTTCCATTTGGTGTAAATAGAAAGAGATGGGACACATGAAAGGAATCCAATTGTAGGCTCTTTCCATTTGACGTGTTTTTAGGAATTATCTGTTTAATTTCTTTTAATGAAAACATTAATCTATTAAAGTAGCTTCTTGTGAGTTATGACCAATTGTTTATGATTTCTGGATTTTTTTAACCTGAACCTGCTGGTATCTGTTGCAGGAGATTGTGGATGGTTGGGGTGTAATTGGAACATTTTTGGAGGGATTGGCATACGAACTCACCTCAGTATTACTACCTATTAATCTTTGTCATTCTACCCTTTAATCAATCAATTGTGAAGCACGTTCAATGTGTTTTTACAGAATGCAAGATTGTGATCGGTTCTACAAGCACACCGAAAGCGACAACTGTTAACAGTCTTGAAGAAATACGAATCTAAATCCTAAGTATTACCGAAGCAAAAGGATAAAGGGATCAAATGGGAAACCACCAGAAGAATCAAAATCTAAGAATTCTTACAAAGAACTGATATGGAGAGGCAAAAATGGAAGTTGACACAACCATCAAACTGTATCTAAACAATCGAGAAAGTTAGCTTATCGTTTGTGTATTCCGTCTTATCCTTCAAATATAGGTTTGAATCTTTTCTCCGGTAACTTCATCATTTTTCTGCTCCATTGAGAACATAATCCAAACTTGGAATTTCTTTGTGATTATGGTATCTTAATTTTGTTTTGGTTACTATATTTGGACTAAATGTTTTTTTTTCCGGTAACAGGTTGTCTTCCCTTGACATTGATCATGCTTTGAAAGATGCACTGAAGGAGAAGATCCAACATATGATGGGTGTCAAATGGTGGACCATTGATGAACTTCCCTCCATCAAAATTATGAAAACAACAGTGGTCACGACCAGTCTCAACAACAATAGTTGAAGGGTATTTTTGTGTTTTTTTTGTAGGTCTTTCGGTGTTAGTTTAGGACTAGGTTAGTGGTAAGTCATAGTAAGTCATATTGGTGTTATTAATGAAAGATTGAAATGAAACTTTGATTATTTTTTTATGTATTATTTGAACTTTCAAAATCTTTTATTAAAATTAATATACTTTTAACTTTTATGTATATAAGGTTATGAATTTTTTTTAATAATATAATATAACCAACTATGATTGTTAGTCTCAATTTTTTGATAGAAGGTTATGAATTTTTATTTTATTGCAT